TTCACAAGATCGCTTTCCAGTTTGCTGCTTTAGCATCTCAACTGCTGACACCACTCAAAGTGGAATGACACAAAGGTCATCTTTCCAGGCAGAGCTCGTTTAGTCTTAAGGTGCCTATACACTTTACAACCCTCGCAAGACTTTTGTCTTGCGAGGGTTGTAAAGTACTTAAAAAAACATCTTGGACAGGCAGATAGCATTTGCGATCATCGCAAGCCTGCCCCCCTGAGGGGCGGGCTTCCGATGACTGTAATGAGGGGCGGGCTTGCGATGACTGCAAACGGGCAGCATGCGCGTGCGCACACCGGCCCGTTCGGCAGTTGTCGAACCAGCAGGCCACTAACTCGCCGAGAATCGTACGATTCCCGGCGGGTTTTCTAGCATGCTGGTTCGGCGGAAGACATGCGACCGTACAGTAGAAACGGTTGCACGCCTTCCATACACTTTTGTCTTGCGAGGGTTGTAAAGTACTTAAAAAAACATCTTGGACAGGCAGATAGCATTTGCGATCATCGCAAGCCTGCCCCCCTGAGGGGCGGGCTTCCGATGACTGTAATGAGGGGCGGGCTTGCGATGACTGCAAACGGGCAGCATGCGCGTGCGCACACCGGCCCGTTCGGCAGTTGTCGAACCAGCAGGCCACTAACTCGCCGAGAATCGTACGATTCCCGGCGGGTTTTCTAGCATGCTGGTTCGGCGGAAGACATGCGACCGTACAGTAGAAACGGTTGCACGCCTTCCATACACTGCACGATTATCGTACGATCGCGGGATTTCCCGCGATTCTCGTACAAGAATCGTGCAGTGTATGGGCACCTTTACAAACATTAGTTCAGTGGCAGACACATTTGCACACATCTCACAGGACTGTAAACTGAAAACTTGTATATATATCAAATTTGTCCTATATATATTCACCTATAGCTATCAACCAGATATCGGACTATACTGAAAAAATATACCTGGAATGTACAGTCTAGAAAGTTATATCAATGACAAGGTTGAGAAAAAGAGGTTCATAAAGTTGAACGTCTTACAACTCCTCTAAAGTTGGTCCAGAGGATGGCAAATCAAAGCCTTCTTGATAACTGTTGGCAATTTTGACACAGGAAAAATTCCTTTCAGAGTTCATTTGCAACATTATTAAACTGACCGGGAGATATCCAAGTACATTTTGGACATTCCAGTCAGTGGCAATCACTAATGGCATGATTAAGCAGCCTGTACTCAAAACATAGTAGACACAGAATGTAAAGCTGGCTCATACACCTTACAATTATTGCTCAATTTTTTTTTGTCCCGTCATCGCACCTCGTTCAATTTTCGCTCTAATAGCCCATCATGTACAGACCAATGTAGATTTCGATAATCGTTCGTCAGCAATACTAACTGGCTGAATTTCGGTGATCGACAGAACAGATTTTTGTATGTGCAGTGTTCATGCTGCAATTTTTGTTTTTACGAAAACGCCACTAATCCATCAATTTACGTCCGTTTCGACGAAAGTTTTCTAGTCTGCCTGGTCAACCAAATTCTGCCAGTTGTACAGTAATTGTTCTTCCCATCAACTGGCTGATTATAGTATGAAAACCTAATCTCATTCATTTTTGAACAAACATCGCAAGGTGTATGGCAACCTTAAGGAACTAGAACACCTGCTGGGTCCCCGACTAGAATGGTGTAGTTCCAATCACTGGCAGTTCTTAATCACTGACCTGGACCAAATATTCAGACTAGGAAAGACTTCACTAGTTACATCCATGTTCTAGATGACTAAAAACCTATTAATGGCTCAAAATAAATCAAAATAAAAGCCTCGTAACTATGGCAGATGTACCTGCTGCATGCCACAAGAGGCCTGCAATTTTAGGCATATTGAAAAAAATTAAAACAACTTTTATTGGGAGTGGTGCTGACAGGGCAATGACCAGCTTTACATGTTCAGGTTCAGTGCATGCAAATTACACTCTAAAGGGCTTAATTAACAAGGCAAAGGACAATGATGGAAATATTGCATCTCCATTTCAAGGTTTGTCTACTAAGTACATAAAATAAATGGCAATGTTCATCTGCCTGCACAACAAAGTGGCCAACTCAAAAGTTAATGAAAAAAACAAACACTCTACAATTTTGTACAAGCTAGCGATCTCAAACACATACAGAAGTGATTTTAACGCACATGACATTTTCTTTATACCCTCCAGCCCATAACAGCTGTGCAGAGAGTGTAATGTCATGTGATTCTAAGATGTGACAGTGGAGACAGTGGACCTCTGCCATTTGTAGTTGGCCACAGTCCCAATCTCATTAAAGCAGCATGTTTCTGTAACTCTAGTTTTAAAAAGTGTTGCCATATACTAGTATGTATACTAGAACTTGCACACTGTAAGCTCGAAATAACTTACAAATTAAAGATGAAGAGCTGATCTCTTTTAGAGCCTGTTCACACTATGTGCAGTAACTGGCATTTCTCTGCACTTGATTATTGCCATTCACTGCAAAAGCACATATAAACAATTGTTTTCTATTTGCCATGTTCACACTTCATTACTGCCTTAAA